GATGGATCGACGGCCTTGCGCGTTGCAACAGGCAATCAACATGGTCAGAAATGTTCATTTGCTAGCCAAGTCACAGTGATAGCAGCTGCAATAGCAACTGCTATGGCTCGCAAGTGCATACTGTTGCCAGCAAGGCTGTGCAATTCCTTAGTTTTTTGGCGAGAAACCTGGAGTCGGCCCAAAGAACTTCGCAGACAAGGTTCCCGTTCGCTGTTTCGACTGAGATCGAGCCGATGAAGAGGAAATCCCATCTGAAGCATTTTCTCAGCTCCTGCTCCAGGACCAAACGACAGGTCTCAGAGGAACTTTGCAAGACTAAGACTGACCTGTCATGAAGCGAGAGTGCTTGGATAGGAAGTAGTCCCCGCCAGGTGTGACACACACGAAGGGCCTTCAACATAACAAAGCTTGACAGCACATTGACATGCAACCAAAAGCCACAACTGGGCTGAGACCTGCACTCACCGGGCAAAACCACTGGCATTCTGCCCAAGTTCTGGCTGGCGTCAGCCACTTGCCACTTGGGCTTCAAATGGCTCAACACTGCAAATGCCTGGCAAGCAGTTCCGAAGCGGTGGTTGGAATGCAGACTGGCAAATATTTGCTACACCTGCCTGCTGCATCCTTGGCAAGTGTACCGCTGGGCAGTTTGACCACACTGGTTTGACATCAGCCGGGGAAATCTGCACGGCGCAGAAACACATTTGACCATCATCATGAATCATTTGATGGGCTACGGGCTAAGAGCCTTCATGCCCTTCATGAACTTCCAATGGCGTAAGCGCCACTTGGGATCCCCGCTCTGTGGCCTGTCATGAGGTCCGAAATGAAGTCTACATCAGTGTGCATTCCAGACCAGCCTTGAGTTCATGTTGTACTTCTTCTTGCCCCTGTGATTCTTCTCGCGGCGTTTTTGTATGCACTCCATCACATACTTCGACTTTGCCGGGAGCAAGAGATCAGACCTCGAATTGGCAAGGCATGATCCAAGTTCAAAACCAGCATGTCATGACAGTGACAGTGACAGACAATAGTCGAGGATCTGACCATGGCCTCTCGCGTTTCGACGACGTCATCGTCTCGATCGTATCGAGAACATGCTGTTGCAGCGTGCCGTCAATCTTCAGAAAGCGTTTCAGCACCATGATAATGTATACTCTCCGTCGCGAGCCATCTGCACCGTGGTTGTACCTTGGCTGCTCTTCTCAACCCTAAGCTGGATTTTGCCGTTACCACATGTCTGAGTCAAGCACGGGTCGATCTCGACCACAGCGATGACGTAAGGACCGCAGGATCGCAACTCCTGCAAGACTTCTTTCAGCACCCTGTACAGGCCCATGACATTCTCCAAAACGCACACCTTGGCATCGTTGAAAATATATATTCACGTCAACATCCACCGTGCTGCCATCATCCCATCATCACTGTGTGCTCAGCTTCAAACCTTTGGCTGTGTTGTCTTAATCGTGTCTTTCACCATGAAGAACTGCTTCGCTTGCTCGTCGTCCATCCACGCGCTCTCAACTCGAAGAGCAGAAAAAGCTTTGCAAGGAAAGCCAGCTACATAAAGCCCGACCTGTCAAGTTCATTCTGAAGTAAAATCCAGAACCGAGCACATAAACTATTTCTTGCCCAATGGAGCACATTGCCTTGCCAGCCAGTGTCTTAACATCTCGGTCGGCAAGGTTGTCGTAAAACCTGTCAGCGTCAGGCCCGACTTTTGGCTGAATGATATGATCAGGGACGGCCGGCCTTTCAGGGTTGAAATTTGCTCTGATCCATCTTTGAGGCCCACGGGCATTGTCACACGAAGACCTGACTGCACAACATCGGGGATTTGTGATGGTCAAATTTTGTCTTTGAGCCGTCGAGCCGCAAATGTCTCACCATGTTGGACATGCCTGCCCCGGCCAAGAGCATGTCCAATGCCATTACTGGCGCTTCGGCTCCACTGCCTTGCAGGAAAGACACACATGAGAGTTGTCATTTTGCACATAGTTGCCTTCAAGAAGATCTGAGTTCTAAGCAGTCGGTCATCAGCCCAATCGGCCCTTGCAATTTCTTCTTCATATTCGCCAGGCCTGACAAAAGACACACATTGTCATAAAGTGATAAGCCAAGCGCTGTACCACAGTCTGGCTCAAGCAAGCCTGCAGCCTTTGCAAAAGCACTGCCGAACTCCAAGTGCTGCCGCTGACCAGCATTCAACGTGATATTTCCAGCGCTGGGAAGCCTAAGTGTGCCCAACCTGCACACAACTCAGTGTCAAGTCAAAGTCCAGGTAAGGTCGAAGCATCACGTCTTCAAATTCTTCATCAGAAGATTCACTGTCACATGAAACCTGACACACACACACACACTTTGTCTTCTAGACATTAATGGCTTGGCATGATCGTCCGGGCCTCCATAATGTCGCTGTCACTGTCTGATAGCACAACGACAGCCATCGGCACACTGGCACATGTCTAAGATGGCACGTCTGGGTCCCAGCTTGAGATTGCCACTGATCTGTGTCTAAAACTTCATGATGACAACGCGCAGCCTTCAGCATTGGAGCAGCAAAGGTCTGCAGAGTCTGCAAATCATGACAGGCAACTCAACAAGCACAGCTCACAAAACACACGGGCAACCAAATCCGCGGCTAGCCCGCAGGAGTTAATAGAAGCTCCGCGGCTAGCCCGCAGGAGCTTTAGAATGCAAGCGAACACACAAGAGGATAAGTAACTAGCCCAATCATCATGACTCGAATACCCCAGGCCCAAAAACCAGACATCCGGTTAGCTTTTGGAAGACATCTAGTTTCGGCCGTGCCGGCATAAGATCAACTGGTTGGGAAGAGAGTCCCGTCCGGAAGCAGCCGGGCTGGCATCTATCATGGCGAGCCGGCTTCCCCAGGCGACCGTTGGCGATATGATGATTGTCAACCGCTTCGTGAACCACTTGCGCAACACGGCTCATCGACCCCTGACTCTGTGGAAGATGAACCCCGCCTCTGCTGTGTTCATCGTGGTGTCAGACGCCGGAGGGATAAATGCCAAGACCGACAGCTATGACGAAGAGGGCCTTCCCAGCGACACCACTCAAGGGGCATGGATGGTGTTGATGGCGGAGAAAATCCCCACGGGCAATGAGAGAGTCAAGGCCAGCCCTATTTCCTGGAGATCCTCGAAACTACGCAGGAAAGTGTTTTCCACCTTCGGCGGAGAAACTCAAGCCATGCTGCAAGGAGTGAGCGAGGTGGACTGGCTGCAGATCATGCTGAGGGACTCGATCCACCATGACGTGGAGCTGCGTGACTGGAGAGCTCGTCTCAGTCCTCATATGGTGGTGTGCCGTGGTGACATCCGTCTCCCTGGCAGGTGCAGCCAATGCGTGGTCACTGATGCTAAATCTCTTTATGATTGCCTCCTTCGAGAGCATCCCAGCGGGAAGCAGGACAGGAAGTCGGCGCTTGAGCTGGCGATAGTGCTGAAGGACTTGCAAGAGACAAAATCCACCATTCGGTGGGTGCCCCACCAAAAACTTCTTGTTGACAGCATGACGAAAGATGATCCACTCCGGACCAACGGAGCCCTTGAGCATTTCTTGAAAAGTGGCGTTCTGGCCTTTGTGAATGTACAGGAAGAGCTGGACTACCGCAAGCAGGGTGCCTCTGCCAAAAGCAGATCGCACAAAGCATCGGTAGACCGCCTAGCAAAGGAAGATCTTGAATCAACGACATTTGGGGGGACTGTTGAAATTGAGCATTGTAAGCAAGGGTCTTGATTCAAGATGCGCGGACATGTACGAGGAGCATCGCCACCGATGGTGGCTCAAGGGCGAGCAGTGAGAAAATGTAGGGAGCCCGTGCGTGCGAGAGAGGGTCTTTCGGGACTGTCTGCTCTTCGGAGGGTTTACGGTTTAGGGTTTGGGGTGTAGGGTTTAAGGTTTAGGGTTTAATTAGGGTTTAGGCACACCCTGGTCAGAGAGCCCAAATACATTGAGTTCCCTGTTGGGGTCCTACCCCGACATAATAAACGACTCCCTACGATTTAAGGTTTAGGGTTTAGGATTTAACATTAGGGTTTAGGGTTTAGGGTTTAGGGTTTAGGGTTTAGGGATACTCCTTTAGTTGGAGGGTACTCCGAGATCCCAACAGCCCTGAAGCAAGGTACGAGTATGTAGCTTCAATTGTAGAGGGACCCTTAACATGATTCAAGGTATATTCCTGACTTAAGTGGTATTGGGCTCTTTGGGCATTGATTGCTAGCTTCTGCAAAAGATGGGGAGGACTTGCTGAGAAACATCTCGGATTGGGCAACTGCAGGGTTTAGGGTGGGTTTAGGGTTTAGGGTTTAGGGTTTAGGGCTTAGGGCTTCAGGGTCCCCCTAATGTTGAGGGCCGGAGGGTCCCTCAGAAGGCTGAGGGCTTTAGGGTTCCCAAGGTTGAGGGCTGAAGGGTTTCCAGGGTTTAGGGCTTGGGGTTTGGGGTTTAGGGTTTAGGGTTTAGGGTTTGGGGTTTAGGGTTTAGGGTTTGGGGTTTGGGGTTTGGGTGTTGAGAATCAGGGTAAAGGGTTGCTGAGGGCCTTAGGTGCAGGAGGTTCGTGGCAAAGGCGGCTACAGGGACCCGTGCAATCGCTGGGGGAAAGGTTTCTGGTAGTCGTACCCTTGAAGCCGTACACTGGTGATTCACATCGCCTGCGCACATGCCCGAACATGCCGAAGTATCATATTTTGCTGCGATTCATTGGTGTTTGTGGATGGCGAGCTGACTGAACAGTATACTAAGTTGATAATTGCCGCGGCTGGTTGAGTTTCGTGGACTTAACCAATGCCCTAGATATCACGACTAGAGCCTAAGCTCTAAACCCGAATTACACCTCAAGGCAGGCGAAAGCATCCCAGGAACTGTCAAAACCTAAACCCCAAACCCTAACCCCTAAACCCGAAACCCTAAACCCTAAAGCCTGAACCCTAAACCCTAAACCCTAAACCCTTAGCCCTAATCCGGAGCAGCCCCAGGATCTTAGATGCTCTCTCTACGCTTTGGGTCATGGACCTGAAGGCGTACATCTGCGTTGGAATCTGCATCTAGAGGTTTAGGGTTTAGGGTTTAGGGTTTAGGGTTTCAGGGTTTCAGGGTTTCGGGGTTTCAGGGTTTCAGGATTCAGGATTCAGGGTTTAGGGGGGGGGGGGTATATGAGCGTTTGTTCGTGGCTTTGGATTAGGACAATGACTTGTTAGGTCTCGCTACTGTCTCGGCAAGCGCAGCGACCACGCACGCACGCGCGCTCGCGCAGACTATCTCACTCACTGACAGATTGGCACATGCACACACATGTGGGCATTTCCCAGAATAGGGGTACCCCATTTATACCCCAAATAGCAAAGAATCCCTTACAGGCCCATGTACGCACACAGACACAGCGCAATGCCCGTCCAGATGTGGCCACTGAACCCTATGAAACCCCAAACCCTGAACCATCCCTAGCATCACCAGAATGGCCGTGGCCAAATGTGCTATGGAGCCACCAGCAAGACTCATGAACCGTGTTTGCCTCGCCCGGCTTGTCCGAGTGTGAGCGATTAAACCATCCCTGCAGGAGCAGTTCGACGAGGCGGCTGACTGGGTGACGCAAAGTTTGAAGTCCCGCGGTTGAAAGGCCCAGGACGCAGCCCCCGCTTCTGCCGCCTATGAGCCCATGCAGAGTGCTGCAATGGTTTAGGGTTTGGGTCTCAGGGTCTAGGGTCTAGGGCTAAGTGTACCCAATGATAAAGGCAGATGTTGTTTTTTGACGGCAAGAAAGGTGACTCAGTCGACTGAACTGGGGCGAGTTTTACATCTTCCTTCTTTGGGTTGTTGTAAGGGACCCATATACATACATATTTCAATACTTCATTAAAAAGTAGAACTACAAGCTTATAAATAAAACAAATATAAATACATGTATATATATATATACGTATGTATGTGTGTATGTATGTAATATTTGTATATCCTACATATATATATATATATGTAATATTTATATATGTATACACACACACATATATATATATATAGTTTGTTTGTCTTTATTGTTTGCTCAAAGGGTTTTAGAGTTCAAGCGCCAAACCAGTGACAGTTTCTCAGCCACACACCGAGGTTCGACCACCCGGCCCCTGTCTCCTTCTTTGAAATCACGATCCGGGCCTTAGGCCTGCTGGGGCTTAGGGAAAAGGGGTTCGGGTTTAGGGTTTAGGGTTTAGGGTTTAGGGTTTAGGGTTTAGGGTTTAGGGTTTAGTTTTTAGGGTTTCAGGTTGGGATGTTGCCCCCCTATACTAACAGTACTTAGTAGAGATGACAGTAGGGGGTGCTATAATCCCTAGGAAGGACTGCGAGTATGCACTGTAGGGGTTGAGAGCCTTGAGAAGCGTTTTTAGGGACTGCACGAACCCTGGAAGGGTTTTTGATGTGGCCCACACTACTATGATGGTCTAGCGTGCATGATCCGAATTCCAGGGTTCATGTTCAGGAGAAATTTGGGGGGGTGGGGGGGGGAGGAGGCTGCAGCTCTAGGAGCCTGACAACCCAAACACCCACTCTCCACCAAGCAACTGATTTCTGGTAAATTCCTTGTTGAAGCGGTACTTGGCTCCTTGGGTGTCCCCAAACTCCGCTGGTCGAATGTGAAAGCACCCCAAAAGCCCAATTCGACCCCGATTTCTCGTCTGCCTAGAGAGTTAGAGCCGACAGCCTCCACTGCCACACTTGACAAAGAGCCCAATACCACTTAAAGCAGGAATGTGCCTTGAATCGTCATCTTGGTCGCTTTGGGGTAGTTTAAGAAACATGCTCCCACTGAATCCTCGGTGCCCAATACCTCCGCTCCGGACCTCTAATTGCAGTTCCTGCCTTTCGGGGTACCTGAGTTGATGATCAGCAACGAAATGTTACCGAAGCTCTGTGCCCGAACCCTAAACCCGAAAACCTAAACCTGAACCCTAAACCCTAAACCTACATCCGGGTCCTGGTAAACCCTCGACTCCATACTTTGCCTTGGGCATCTCTTTCTCTGGCCCTTTCCATTTGGGTTCCGGTTACGCTACCTTATACTTAGGGTGGTCAATTTCAGAGAACTGAATCTATGCCCGGGAGCCCCAAGTTCGTGTAAACCCCAGAATTCATGAAGCCCTAAACCCTAAACCCTGAACCAAAACAGGTGGTCTGCTCTCGGCCCATGCACTCTCCGGCCGCCCAATTTTCCTGCAAAAAGTCGCCTGGCCAGGCGTTACCGATTCGGGGCTTACGCAAGTTGTTCTCTGTTGCCTTGACGTGGGGTCTTTTTCTAGGACCGGGAGTAGGCCATTTTTTTTTTAGGGTTGGGGTTCCCTTATGATCCCCTTAAAACCAAAAAAGGTACCCTTTTTTTCCTAGGTTACTCCCGGGTCTAGACTTGTTCTCTGTTGCCTTGAAGTGAGGCCTTTTAAGGATCCTCTTCAAAAGGTGGCTCAACCTGCTAGGGTTTAGGGGCCGGAGTAGGCTCCGTAGAAGCCCCTTTAATCGAAAAAGGGGTACCCTGCTTATTCCTAGGTTGTTCTTGGGACTGGTGATTCCTATATCCCCCTTGGGAATTATGTTTTTTGTTTATATAAAACCCAAGAGGATATGAAAAATATAACTTTTATTACGGTTCTAAGGGGAGTATAGATTCTGGGGCTTGAAGATCCCAGGGGACTGGCTCACAGATGCGCAGAGAAGCGTGAGCGAACCCTCGATGGGTCTAAACCAGGAACCCTAAACCGTAAACCCTAAACCCCTAAACCCCTAAACCCCTAAGCCCCTAACCCCCTAAACCCCTAAACCCCTAAACTACCGTTGTTGGCATTCCGTTTTAAAGGGTGCCGCCTTAGAATGGGGTACCCAACAAGGGACCCTAATTTAGGAAACTACCCAGATCCTAAGAACCGAACCATGAAACCAGAGACCCCCAATTCCCAGAGCAGAACAGTAGGGTTTAGGGTTTAGGGTTTAGGGTTTAGGGCTTAGGGTTTAGGGTTTAGGGTTTAGGGTTCAGGAGCCCTAAAAACCCGAAGCGGCGGAGCCTGTGAACCCTGGGCCCCAAACCTTAAGCCCGGGACACCAAAATCCTATAATAGCCACTTGACAGCCATAGGCTCCTTATTTTGACTAGTTGGGGCTTCCGCTGTATATAGGCCAGTGTGGTTAAATTCTTTTCACAAGGGCTCCCGCACAAAAAGGACCCCTAAGTTTCGGAAACTCCAAAAGCTAACTAAACCCTCTGGAAGGATTGGATGATTCGCCACCCTGAACCCTATCAACCCTACTATTTGCATCAGAACCAGTCCAACAAAAAGACAATATTCTTCATGGTAAGGGCACTGTAGGTATTAATACCTCTTTTGTTGGGGGGGGGGGGGGGGGGGGCAAAACCCCAAACCCTAAAGCCTAGAAAAAAAATATCCTAGAACCCTATACAAACCTTTCGCGGAATTCGAGGGACGCAAAAGACGAGCTTGAGAAACGGCGACTCCTTATCGTCTAACGGTGCCAAACCTTCAGAAAAAGAAACCCTTAAACCCCAAATCCTTAAACCCTCAATCCCTACCTGGACCCCCAAAGTAATTATGCAAAAAATAGCCCAAACCCATGAAAAGGCTTTTATTTTACAGACTCTGGGGGTTTAGGCCCTAAACCCTAAAGCTTCCTGATCAATCCTTAAGAGTCAAGGCTCGGGAGCTGGGGGACAAGTTGCTGCATGCGTTCAACTCGCAGACAGGTGCCCGATGTGCGGGAAAAGGGATGGTTAGCACTGTGGTTTTAGACTGGGGTTTAAGATTTTGGTTTTGGGGCTGATAAGGTTTGGGACGTTGGATTTATGGGGCTTCCCTAAAGTAGCCTGTTGTGCCTTTCAATAAACGAACTGAATTCTGGGTATGCTTAGCAATATTTTTTAAGGCACAAGGTCCGGCTGTACTCACAAGCCCAATACATACATATATATATATATACATGTATATATATATATATGATTTTGGGGGGATACGCAATTTTGTTCTTACATCATCTCTAACCCTTGCGCATGTTTTTGCTTCACATGAATAATAGTACAGTCTTTGGTTGAGCGAGTAAGTGAGAGTAAGCAGGGCCAACGCGATCGGGAGCATCTACCTCATAGCACGAAGATCGCTATGAAGGTTGTTCTCTGAACCAGAAGCCCTTTCAAGGTTATGTCGTCCCCAAGCATCGCATCTATGCTAATCTTGGTAGCCCATGGTAGCCCAGTGGTACCCTTTTCACTTTTTTTGGTTGTAGGTTCCCTCATAAATGTCCAACCCCAAAATGGGTGCCCTGATTACAACATGGTTACTAGGCTTTCAAGTAGATCATCACAAGGTATCTCCTGCCTGCGCAGGCTTCCCATTCACACAGTTGACCTTGAGGACCTGGAGCAGGGTTTAGGGTTTAGGGTTCAGGGTATAGGGCTTAGGTGAGCAGGGTTTAGGGTTTAGGAAGTTTAGGGTATAGGGTTTAGGTGAGCAGGGTTTAGGGTTCAGGGTTTAGGGTTCAGGGTATAGGGTTTGCGTTTGCTTTCGGAACTCTTTTCGGATGGGGCACCACATGTGCGCACAGTCTGCAACCAGGCACTTCAGACAGCCCTGGCGCAGTTTGGGTTTAGGGTTGAGGCTTTAGGGCTAAGGGATTTGGTGACAAAGTATTTTTCAGGGTTTAGGGTTGAGGCTTTAGGGTTAAGGGATTAGGTGACAAGGTTTCTTCGTTGGAGTTGACTTTGGGTCTTGGGACCCTGCGTTCTGAACTACCTGCAGCACTGAGCAGTCGTCCATCTAGGGCCTATACTCTAAGGGTAGTTACATGGTCCTTTAGTATGGGCCCTTAAAGAAGAGGACCCCATAAAAACCCCGTATATACCCTACACAACCGAAGGGCCCCTACTTCAGCACCCTTTCAAGGAGGTAAGGCAGGTAAGGGACCATATTAAGGGCCTATATAACTACCCTTAGATATACCTTGTGCTAGGGTCAGCGCTCTGCATACGCATCTTCGCATGCGCCTTCGCTTACTGCAATGTGCTGTGGCTGGCTTGTCACAGATGAATAGAATGCACGGAAGTCGTTGGGAGAAGAAGGAGGGCTGGAGCAAGGCCGCAAGGGTATAGGGTTCAGCATTTCCCAGAGTGATCTCCCATGCTAAACATACCCTGATCCTTCTGACAGCAACCCCAGCACCTTCCACCCACCACCCTCCCCCCAAATTCCGGAAACCCCACAGAGGCTTTGGGGCATCCCTAAACCCTAAACCCTAAACCCTAAACCCTAAACCCTAAACCCTAAACCCTAAACCCTAAACCCTAAACCCTAAACCCTAACCCTTTGCGTGCAGCAGCAGGACTGGCGAGGGGAAGAAAGGCTGGTACTCAGGTGTTGTCTTGGCGGAGGTGGGCCCTGAGCCGTAATGATTGCCTACCCATGTGCACATGTGTAGGGTTGGAGTACGCCCAAAGAAACCTACATACATAAACATATATGTACAAACAGACATACATATATATATATACATATATGTATGGAGGGTTTGGGTTTTTCTCGATAAGCCTAAATAAATAAGCAAATGAAAACATAACAATAAATAAATGTATATATATATATACACACACTCGATATACATATACATATATACATATGCATTTGCCCTTGAAGGAATGCCCCCCCCCCCCCCCCCCCCCCCCCCCCCAGATCATCCCGCAGACATTGAAACCCAGCCAAGTTGATTCAGATTCACGGGGGCAAACGGGAATTAGGCGCCCGGAAGCATCCTGCTCGAACCCCATTGCGGGCTTAGGGTTTAGAAAGCATCCTGCTCTAAGCCCCATAAACAGTAGATTGACCATGAACCCCAAAGCAGATACCCTTCACCTAGGCCACCCTACAACCCCTGATCTACAGCCAGGCATATGGATCCTAAACCCACAGAGGCCAAAGCTTTGCTTCAAGCAGCCAGGGCGAGTGGATTCAGAAGCACGCCTAACCCTAAACCCGAAACCCGGTTTACCCTGAACCCTGAACCCTGAACCCTAAACCCTAAACCCTAAACCCTAAACCCTAAACCCTAAACCCTTAAGGGTAGGGAGGTGGGGCCCCAGGCCTACTTTGAAGCTCTTTTGACTTAGTAAGTCTACTTAGTACACCCTCTTATAATCCCCCCGAACCCACCTTGCTAACCCGACTTACTAAGTCAAAAGAGGTTCCACGCCCTAAACCCTAAACCCCACAGCAACCTTTACACCCTAAACCCTAAACCCCAAACCCTAAACCCTAAACCCTAAGGGACCTGAGAGCGCTCCAAGAGGCTGGCACTGTACAGCTAGAGTTCCGGTACCTCTCGCAACAGTGGCTTGCCAGCAGTGGGCCCTGAAACGCCCAAATTCCGACCTCACAGCTCGCAGGGTTTAGGGTTTAGGGTTTAGGGTTTAGGGTTTAGGGTTTAGGGTTTAGGGTTTAGGGTTTCGGGCGAACTCTAAACCTTAGACTCTAAGCCCTCTAGCAGACTTGGGCATCTTCCAGCCTGGCGCCCTCACATGACTAACACCCCGTTTAGGGTTTGGGGTTTAGGGTTTAGGGTTTAGGGTTTAGGGTTTAGGGTTTAGTGTTTAGGGGACAAACCAGGACGGGCTATCCGGCCTTGCAATCCTCATAATCAAGCCTGAAAGGGGGTCCTTTCAAGGGATTACCGGATCTTGATTACACCCCGTCCCTAAACCTAAACTCGAGAACCCTCGGGAATGATAGAAAAAAGAACATGCCCAAGCCTAAATTTAAGCTCTCTGCGACCCGGACTAAGAGCGTAAGTAGCCAACTCTTCCCTAGTAAAGGCTTAACATGGCAGTCCCTAAACCCTACACCCTACACCCTAAACCCTAAACCCTAAACCCTAAACCCTAAACCCTAAACCCTAAACCCTATAGCAGTCGCGCTCAGCTGCTCAGACTCAGAGACAGCACCGAGTAAACCCTATAGCACGCCAAAGGCTCCCCTATTTGCCCAACACCCTACTTACTAAGTCCAAAGGCATTCCAAGTAGTAGGGTTAGGGTTTAGGTTTATCTAAGGGTAGCTACGAGGTCCCTTATGGTGATCCCTTACCTTCTGTAAAGGGTTGTGAAGTATGGGCACTTGGGTTGAGGGTATATGAGGGGTATAGAAGGGCTCCATTCAAGGGCCGAATGTAGGTACAGGGCTTAGGGTTAGCCCGTACCTTTAAAAAAACAAGCTGACAAGTCGAGACCTCTGGAGGTACCTAGAGTACCCGGTATCTAGGCAGGCCATTGGTAAGTTTCATGTTTTCCCTTATCGAGATATTTTCTGAGGATTGCAAGGCCCAACCTAGAAGAAGACCGCAAGATCCCGCAAGTAGGGTATGTTCACCTTTTGTGCAGGGTTTGGCCCCACAAGCTTGAGTGTTTTTGTGGAAATTCAAGGTTTGGGCACCCTAAACCCTAAACCCTAAACCCTAAACCCTAAACCCTAAACCCTAAACCCTAAACCCGAAACGGTTTACGACACTCATAAACCCCAACCAGAACCCTGCAAATGTTCACGCGCGTGCTCGGCATGAGGCTCAACGACCCGAAGTATGCTGCTGCAGGGGACAGGGCCATGCGGCAGATCCTTCAGGCACCCCTAAACCCTACACCCTAAGCCCTAAACCCTCAACCCTAAACCCTAAACCCTAAGCCCTAAAACAAGGGTCAGGGTTCCGGTCTCGGCTCGAATTGTCGTCCTTGTCTATGAGTACCCAGTTGGGGGTTTACGAAGTACTTGTTCCCCTCTTTGTTTGATTCCAGGTGCCTGCCCCCCCAGACTACAGCAACCTTTACACCCTAAACCCCAAACCCTAAACCGTAAACCCTAAACCTTTACACCCTTGAGGAGAAGCCCGGCCAAGCCTAGAAGGGCATGCTGATACCCTCACTAAACAGGTGTCATGTACCACTTGGGATGTTGCCCCTGATGCTAACAGCTCCTTAATCGGGACTATAGTAACCCCTACTCTACAATTCCTGTTAAGGACGGTTAGTGTTTGGGGGAACATCCCAAGGTACCGTGACTATTCTTGGTATGCGGGTTCTGTTCAGGGTCCTTAGGTTACTCTCTAGGTCAACTGCTAGTATGCCCAGTACCACCCTTGTCCATGTATCAAGAGCATTAAAAAAACGCACATACATATACATATACATATACATGTACATATACTCAGCCCTAAACCTTATCATTGGGGTTGTCATCTCCAAGTGCGAGATGCCATTGAACCTAAACCCTAAACCCGAAACCCTAAACCCTAAACTCTATGTGAGATGCTCCAGGCTGAGAACGGGCAGGGACTGGTTCCGTGGGGTTTGGCGAGCTCGAGCCCGCCCCGCTTTACGAACAGCACCGCGGCTGGGGGGTGTGGGGGATGGTTTTGGGGTTTTAGGGTTTAGGGTTTAGGGTTGGGATGTGATGTTCCCCCTTATTCTACCAGTCCTTGATAGGCATTCTAGTACCCCAACTATAATGCCCATGAAGGAATGTTCGTATAACGGACATCCCAAGGTTTAGGGTTTAGGCTTTAGGTTTCTCAAGGTTTTAGAGTTGAGTTAAACACCCTAAAGCCTAAACCCCAAACCCTGAGCCCTAAACAGTGTTTTTGGGGTTGTTTAAGGGTTTAGGGTTGATGGGACTCCGAGATGCCCCGCAAGTTTGTTCACGATTTGGGGTTTAGGGTCTAGGGTCTAGGATTTAGGGTTTAGGGTTTAGGGTTTGTGAAATGAGTCGGACACTGCTGTAGCCTAAACCCTGAGCCCTAAACCCTGAACAGCTTTGCTTCTGACCCTATCATCGTTTCACCCACATTTCACGGATTTAGACTCGCACCCCGAAGGTTGTACCTTTAAAGGTTTCCCTTAAAAGAGGATCCTAAAATGGCCGTTACACTACCTGAGGGATCTTCAAACAGGGTCCCCAACCCTTAGGGATCCAAGGGTAGAGTCCCTTGCTTGTCTCCCGCAGCTCGACTCCTCTCTGCCTTGCGGACAATGCGGTTTAGGGTTTAGGGTTTAGGGTTTAGGGTTTGGGGTTTAGGGCTTAGGGCTTAGGGCTTAGCGCTTAGGGCTTAGGACTTGGGGATTAGGCAAAAGGGTTTAGGGTTTAAGTAGGCAGTTGTCTAAATTCGGGTCCTTTTGGGGGGAACCTAGTATAGAGAAAATGCCAACCTAAACCCTAAACCTTATACCCTAAGCCGAAAACCCTAAACCCTAAACCCGAAACCCTAAACCCTAAACCCTAAACCTTAAACCCTAAACCCTAAACCCTAAACCCTAAACCCTAGACAGCAGCCCCAGGTCACATCACCTTTGGAGCCATGGGCGATTCCTACTACGAGTACTTGCTTAAAATGCGCCCAGCTTGCATGGCAAATGCCAGCCACAAGGGGTTTAGGGTTCATAGGGTTTAGGGTTTTGGGTTTTGGGTTATGGTTTGGGGTTTAGGGCGTTTAGGGTTTAGGATTTAGGGTTTAGGGTTTAGGGTAGGGTTCGTAGGGTTTAGGGAGTTTGCACGTGGACGCTGCTGGGCTTGCGTTTCGAAGGCTGCGTCCGAATTGCCAGTTTTCGGTGCTGGCTGGCCCTGGCTGGCCCTGGCTGGCCATGATTCCTGCAAAACCCTAAGCCCCAAAGCCCCTAAACCCTGAACCCGAAACTCTAAACCCCAATGAATTGCACGATGGCCTTAAGGTACTTGCAGACCGACCGCTCCGAGCCTGAGTGGAAGAATGTAGCCTGGCCATCTAGGCTTCGTTGGCTGTCATATCGGGTTTAGGGTTTAGGGTTTAAAGGTTTAGGGTTGAGGCATATATTTCAACAGCCTTAAGCGTTGGGCTTCCATCTCAGGAAGCGGAGAGGGGGGGGGGGGGGGGGGGATTACTGGGAAACCCTAAGCCCTAATTCCTAAACCCGAAACCCTAAACCCTAAACCCAACGGAGCCAGAAGGGAGCGGTTGCTGGCTCTTGGATGCCGGGCTTGGAAGGGTGCGAGGCAATGATGCCCTGGTGAATGATGCAGCGGCGGTGGTGAGCCAAGTAAGGTGTGCTTGAGGTTTAGGTTTAGGGTTTAGGGCTTAGGGTTGCAAGCCATGGCGGTGGCAGAGGTTAAAGTTGGGACACACTGGCCGGCCCGGGTCACACGCTGCAGGGCAAAGAACTCCGAAGATGGTCTCGAGCTGCACGTCCTGCGTCGTTCGCCGGGTGCTGCTTTACAGTCATGTAGGGAGGAGCGGTTGCTTGGTCGGCTTGGTGTCGGTTTCGCCCCATGTGCCCCTAAACCCTAAACCCTAAACCCTAAAACCCTAAACCCTCAGCAGCCCTATAGGCCCTATCAGGCATGGAGGCGGCCATGGACAAGATGAGTGCAGCGGTGATCTTCACCACCAAAGGCCAGAAGGACCGAGGAGTTGTCCTGAAGGTCACCTTGACCCTGACAACTTTGTGGAACTTTACTGTAATTTGGGTTTAATGGGTCTTAATAAGGCGCTAAAAGTTTAATTTTAGCTACCCTCCTGGTGCAGCCAAGGAAACAGCACCCTAATTAAGGAATATACCTTAAATTATATTAAGGGTGCCCTATACATGTAAGATCTTCTGAATTCAGGAATATACCCGAATTATTTCTCAGATGCCCAAAACACATTTCAGGCCTCTCCTTAATAAAGGGTATTTGGCTCTTTGGGCATCTTTCAAAAATTTTGAATAAAGCCGTTTTGTACCCACCAAGGTCGAATCTCGATTCAAGGACCCGTGAAATCTTGGGGGACCACAGAACCTAAAAGGGTTTATGGTTAATTTTCATATACCTAATGGGAGCTATAGTAGTATAGTAGTACAGGTTAGATGACCCCCATTTGGGGCTTCCATTTGGTACCGACCATGGCAAAAGCACGGGCTGCGCTAGTGTGATTGTGTGTAGTGGAAACTTTGAGGGACCATGTTGATAGAATAAAGGACCTAAACCCTAAACCCTAAAAAAAAAAAAAACTCCCCTGAACTCTGGACTCGACGACAAGCCTCTGGCTTCTTTGTGCCCCTGCCGGGTGCATTAATGCAAGCTTCTTCGGGTTTAGGGTTAGGGTTTAGGGTTTAGGGGTTCTTCTTGGCCTCTTATCTCCCACTCCAACCCCTACCCGCAGAGCCTGACCACACACTCAACAAATCGGTGCGCGCGCGGCGCGCGACCTGGGCTTTCAGGACCCAGACAGGCCCTTATTCCTTTCTTTTAAGGGCTTTGGGTGCCCTTTGCATGCCCCTGTGAAACCCAAAAAAGGGCACCCTGTTATTCCTAGGTTCCTCTTTTTTTTTTTTTTTGTTTTTTTTTTTTTTTTTTTTTTTTTTTTTTTTTTTTTTTTTTTTTTTTTTTTTTTTTTTTTTTTTTTTTTTTTTTTTTTTTTCAAGTCATATTGGGACGAGTTTGCAGTTGTCCTAAAGGCTCCTATTGTAGTCCTCTTCCGGGTAGTAGGACTAGAGGTCCCCTTTCACTACAACAAAAAGGAACTACGTCAGAGCCTTCAGCGCCTTCCTGAAGGCTCTAATAACTCGTTCCTCTTTGGGTTAGGTATAGGGCTTCTAGTATATTACCACCCTAAACCTCAAGCCCCAAACCCTGAACCCTCAAAAACGTAAGTTCTGCATACTTAAGTATAGGCCCTGGCCCCTAACCCTAAACCATAATCCCTAGTCCCTAAACCCTAAACCCAAGCTGGGGTGTGGGCCAGGCGGCCTCACTTACATCGCGGGGAGAAGAACCTTGGTTGGGTGATGCGTCGGGCTTTATGAAGGTTAGGGTTTAGGGTTTAGGGTTTGGGATTTAGGGGTTTAGGGGTTTAGGGGTTTAGGGTTTAAGTTTAATGTTTTCGGGTGCTAGGGTGTTATGGTTTCGGGTGTATGGTTTTGCGGGTTTTTAGGGTTCTAGGTTTTAGGGTTTACTTAGGGTGTGAGGGTGTAAGGGCTTTAGGTCTCTTAGGGTTTGAGGGTTTGAGGGTTTAGGTTTGAAGAATATCTTAGTAGCTGAGTGATAAACACTATTAATTCAAGGGGTCAACTCTTTTTGGGCCAGGTTTACTCGGCAACTAGGAACAGGGTTTGCGACCCTAAACCTTAAACGCTAAACCCCTAAACCCCTTTTCCTCAGAGTGAAGTCTGTGCACTCACACCACCAGGAGGCCAGCCTGCGAAAGGTTCGGGTCCAAGGGTCTTGGCAAGTCTTGTTGTCTTATGCATCCGATGAGGCCGTTTTGGGTTCAGGGTTTCGGGCTTAAAGGCATAATTTAGGTTTAGGGTTTGGGGTTAGGGTTTTAGGTTTAGGGTTTAGGTTAGGGTTTAGGGGAAAACCTGCAGCCCTAAACCTGAACCCTAAGCTGCCAGGGCTCCGAGCCGGCGAGTGCAGAATCGCATGCCTCCCCCCCCCCCCCCCCCCCCCCCCCTCCATCTCACGGTTGCCATTGAGGCTGAGGTTTAGGGTTTAGGTTTTAGGGTTTTAGGTTTAGGGTTTTAGGGTTAGGGTTAGGGTTTAGGGTTTAGGGTTTAGGGTTTAGGGTTTTAGGGGGGGGTTTAAAAAAAGGGGGGGGGGGGGGGGGGGGGGTTTTAGGGTTATCGGGCTTATCGGGTTTAGGGTTTGGGGTCTGAATGTTTTGATGGTTTGCAGTGAGCTGGTGGCCACTTGAATGTATATGCGCTTGTGCCTGCAGGGCAGCACTTTCCAAACCTGCCGGCCTTCCCAAACTATCTTACTGTTATTCTTACATTACAGAGTCGCAGCACACGCTTGAAGCATCAGTTACAGCACTGTCACCAAACGTTTCTATAGACCTATAAAAACCCTCAAACTATATGAACTAGGGTTTAGTACTTTCTTGTACCCCTTACAAGGACACCCAGTACTATGCACTCACTAATTCACTCACCGCCAGGCTCAAACTGTCCATGTCTCGCAGGTGACACCGTAGAGACAACGCTACACACATACCTCCGCTTACAGCGGGCCACTCACTAATATAAAAGGAACCTTGTATACAACTCACAAAAAAACAGAAATACAAACCCTCAACGATGTTCAGCAAGCCGAGGAACAGCCGGAACGGACCACAAGATGGACCACCTGGCCTGCTTCGTAGGCGCGCTGGTTTAGGGTTTAGGGTTTAGGGTTTAGGGGGGTTGGGTTTAGGGTGGGCCTTCGCTTGGCCTCGCGGGTCTAGCCGGTTCAACGCGCCGGAGGTGTGGGGTTCGAGGGTATCGCTTCCCATATCACTGAGCCTCCTTCACCAACCCCTCAGTCAGGCCATAAGATATATTGCAAGCCCCTGAGAGTACCAAGAAACCAGAGAGAACCTCTGCGGCATGCACTTGGTGGCACCCGAGCTCCCCAGGGCTTCGGGGCTCCGAAGGCTTGAAACTTAGGGCTCTGGTTGTGGAGTACAGGTTCAGCGTTTAGGGTCGAGGGGCCTAGGGTTGGGTTTAGGGTTTAGGGTTTAGGGTTTTGGGATTTTTTTGGGTTTTGGGTTTTAGGGTTTTGGGTTTTGGGTTTAGGTCTGTGCGCCCCCCCCCCCCCCCCACCCGCGCAAAGAGCAACCTTACTACTTACAGCAGCGTTGAGCTTTGTTGTTTGCAAACCCTACACACTGAGCCCTCAAACCTTGGAAACAGGGGGGGGAAGTGTGTGAGACACTAAACCTATTGCTTTTGTCCCTGAATGTTTTGTTTCCTTCCTGCGCCCTCAACACGTAAGTTTTCCCCACATGCCCAGAAACACCAGTACGCCTTGCTTAGGGTATCCTCCTTCAATCATCTGAGGATCCCTAGTGTTATATGGGTACGTGGAATCGTTGGGTGAGTGATACTGGAGTCTCTGGCACAGGCGGCATGCTGATCTATGGTGCCCGCCAGCTCCGCCCAGAGGAGATGGGTTTAGGCGTAGATGGGGGCGTACATAGGGGTTACTGAAGGTTTAATAGGGTCTATGTAGGGCCTATAGGGTTTTCCCTAGAGTAACCTTTGTACCTTTAAACAACATCCCAAACAGTGTGTCAACACTAACGGGTTCCAATACGGACCATGGCGGCCAGAGCTTTGCGGAACTTTAGGCTCTTGGTAGGGTTGAGGGTTTAGGGTTTCGGGACGAAAGCCGCGCTCCCGCGTAGGTCGCGTAGGTGCGGGCGTGGCGCAGTCGCCGTCCTCGAAACTGACGTCACCTTTGCAATTTTTCTCACAGCGCTTTTGGGCGTCTGGTCTCCATCGCTTTTGGACTTCTGGACTCACATGCTCTCGCACTGTTAGGGACCTAAGGTGGCAGAATGCATTACCCCATCATTAAAGGAGCGTTTCCATTTTTGTGAGTGCGTACAGGTTGCTCTGAGTTAGAGTGTTTCTCGTAGTAGCTGAATGAGTGCACTTTACACTTTTTGGGATAGGATCATCCCCTGTATAGAACTGAAAGTCTACATGTTTGGGGGGGCTTGTGAACTCAGCAACTAAGTTCAGCAGTATGGCTCTTCTTATTGTTGGTTAGAAGGGAAAGGGGGACTAAGGCGCCAGATATCAGCCCTTGAAGGGTATATAGAGGATATGTGGTACCTTATCCCCTGAGTCCCCACTACTTGGAGGACTTATAACGCGAATTCTAACTCTACTTATAAGCCCCCCAAGTCCCCCAAGTAGGTTTTAAGCAGACTTATACCTGTGGTTATAAGCACCCATGAACCTCCAAGTAATCAAGAGTAAGTCTTTGCCCCTAAACCCTAAACCCTAAACCCTGACACCTAAACCCTAAACCCTACACCCTAAACCCTAAACTTTGCTAGCTGAGAGTGAGGACGTGGACTCGCGGTGGGAGCAGACGGCTGCAGGCATCACGGAGACCTGCTACGAGAGCCGGGGTCTGCACTTCCTGAAGCCCAGAACCCGAAACCTAAACCCTAAACCCTGAACCCTGAACCCTAAACCCTAAACCCTGCGGTTCAGGGTTTAGAGCTTTCCCCCTAAATCTCTGACACCGAGGCCACCGAGGCCCCCGAACCCTGTACTTAGTTCCAAAGCCCGCATCTTTGTCATAGTGGGGTAACCCTAAACCCTAACCCTAAACCCTAAACCCTCAACCCTAAACCCTAGCATTTTACTTGTTTAAGGTATACTTAGACTCAATGAGGACTAGAAATACACATTGATACTACTGTCCCAACCATGAACTGGCCATGATGCCGGGGAAGGCTCGCCTGGCTCGCCTGGTTTCGTTAGCGCACGTGTCGGTTAAGAGTGAAGGCTATAAGGGAAGTGATTTGTGAGTTTTGCTGCGTCTGTGAGCCGCACTAGTATGCTGCCACCACGTACTAGATATTGCGACATTGGGGCAGACGTATAACCGAGCGCATTTTGACCCTTATTCTTTTCAGCAGGAGTAGGGCTGCCAAGGGCACGGCTGCAGCCAGTCAACACTCCTCAGGTCAGTGTTGTTCAACGAAGACTGTTGTACCTTAAGCATCCTCGGCAAACGACCATTTGCTTAAGAACCCCCCCCCTCAAAAACAAGACAAATGTAATATGATAGTCTTTATATTTGCCTTATGCAGCATCTTTTCCATTTGATTGAGGGAGGGCTCTTCAGCGAATAGTAGAAAACCTTTTGAATTATTTTCTCACAACATACATGGGCGAGTGTTGTCTCAGCGTTGCCCTTGTGCTGCCCATGGACCATGTGCATTGTGCCTCCTAAACATGCACGGTGCATGCCGCGAAAACCTAAGCTAAACCCCTAAGCCCTAACTTTCAGCACCCATGTACCTCTGTAGTGTTTTTTTACTTGGCCCTGAAAGCTACTTTATAGGACCCCCTTCAAGGCCCAAGTGTAGACTATATAGGTATTAGGGTTTAGGGTTTAGGGTTTAGGGTATTAGGGTAAACCCAACCAGGCAGCTGTGCAGACCTGGTTGTAAAAGGGTAAACCCAACCACATTCCAACAGCCCAGGATGTATCATCGACAGCCGTCACATCTGGCGCCTGAGGCACATTGACGAACCCGAAGACGCCTATGTCTTAATCAAGAAACATGTATCCTTCAAGTTCAAAACTGCAATTGAAGGATTGTTCCTGTTCACTCATTGAGGGAGATTTGGCGTCTCTTGATGCATGTTCTTCTCTTTGCTGAGGATTGAGGGTTTGAGGCTCTTTTTGCATGGTCTGTAGTTTCTTGTAGTCTGTGCACGTAAGATACATACCAGTGTGAGGTCATCGCATGTGCAGTCGAGCGTCACGAGTTCAAGGTTTTTGTCACGACGGCTCACAAGTGGTAGGGTTGAGCTGCACCAGCTCCGACACCACGAATCCAGGCCACAGAAGCACACAGTCCAGCAACCACGGGGGGTGTCGGATCCCTTAGAAGCCCCTTATTGAACCAAACTTGGTGCCCTTTTCTATTCTTCAGGTTACTGCTTAGGGGCTACTAACAGAGGCTGCACTCGCCCCGCCATGTAGCCATGGGCCAAGAGCGCCAAGAGCCCCAGACCTCGCGCGCCATCGAGGATGTCAAAGACTTGCAGCCGGACCCTGTGCTGCATCATGTGGATTTAGAGTTCAATGCTTGGGATGGTCCCCTTATACAGACAGTTCTGAATAGGGATTATAAGCAGGGGTATGATCCTCCCCATTAAGGACTGTTAGCAGAAGGGGGAACATCCCAAGTTCAGTGCTTGGTGGCCCAGTGGTGCCCTTTCTTCCCTTTTGCGGGGGTTCAAGGTCCCCTGAAAACGTAACCAACCCAAAAAAGGGAGCCCTTATTCTGAGATGGTTGCTGGGCTACCGTGTCAGAGCCTCCCATTGCACAATTCTCTTGACACGAGATCCTCATGATGTGAGAGCACGCTTGGCACAAGGGTAGCGGGCGCCTAACTCTGGGTGTGTTGTAGGTAACCTAAACCCTATTCCCTAGACCATCGGTGACAACCAGGCGACATGGCTTGAGTGCGGGCATGCCAGAAGACGGTGCCGTGAGTTTTTCTGTTGGGTCTTGGGGTGATAGGACTTTCGATCGACTGTATGGGGGATCCCGAAGGATCCATGTACCTATATAGTCATAAAGTGTATACTTGGGCTGTATAAGGGGTATCTTAAGCGGCCAAGCATAGACTATACAGGTACGTGGATGTTTTTGGGGGCCTCCCAAGCCTACACGTCCCCTGCCCGCAAGCCATCCCAAGCCCTGAACCCACAACAGCAAAAGCAATGAGGAGCTTCTCCGAAGTGTGCCACTCCATGCCTGCCTGGGAATAGCCGGACGTGCTTGGTGGCAGAACCAGAAAGGTGCCTCTCAGAGGGAAGAGGGGGCTTCAGATTCTACTCTGCCGTTTTGCTTTTTGTTTCTTTGCCTTGCTAAGCCAAAGAGCTCCATACCCCTTTTTTTGATCTTTAGAAAGGTACCCTGAATCATATTTCTTAAATGGTATTGGACTCTCTGACATGATTCGGCAGCGCGCGGATGCACACGGGAGAATCGCGCACCCTTGTCTTGACTACTAGTGGTCTCAGAGTCTTAGGGCTTAGGGTTTAGGGTTTAGGGGTGCGCCTGCAGATCTGAGGTGTTGCTGACTTTTGCATGCAGACGGCCACAAATGAGCATCCTGGGCTGTCATGCTACGGTTTGAACTTTTAAAGTTATCCTCCCCCCCCCCCCCCCCCCCAGCCCCCGTTAAGGGTTGGTGTGGCCTGAGCGGAGATGCCTTCTCTTATGCCTACTTGGAGGTTCATGGTACTCATTCAGCCAATTACAATGTGTTAGGGCACTTAAGGGCTTGTAAGCGGGTTATAAGTGCAGTTTCAACTGGGTTCTAAGCACCATGAACCTCCAAGTAACGTAGTCATCACAAGGTTCTAATTAGAGCCCGTATGAGGTATGACTACTTCTTCAGTCATGACTGGAGAACGTCCGGGCGATTGAAGTACGTGTCCCTTCTGATTGTTTTCAACGGCGTGCCGGCAGCCTTGAGCAGCTTCGTCGTGAGCACTTGCCTGGGCGTGCTCACCTATTTTGGCTACTGGGTGCTGAAGTTGTTTAGGATGTATGAACTTCGACAGTAGTCTGTGTTCCTGTAGCCCAAAGGATCCATGTACCTACATCGATATGCCCTTGAGCTAGTCTATAGGAGCCCCTTTAAAAGCCCAAGTCTATGCTACAGAGGTACAGAATCCTTCGGGTAGATGTTCAGGCTGGTGCACAGGTTTAGTTCAGGGGGTCTAGGACCGCGAGTAGGCCCTTTTTTCCTGTTTTAAGGGTTGGGTTTCCCTTATAATCCCCTTAAAACCAAAAAGGGCACCCTTTTTATTCCTAGGTTACTCCCGGGTCTGGGGGTCCGAGTTTACTCGCGTCTCCCTGAACCTACGACCACTGTCGAGGTTTCCTCTCCAGGTCTGCGTGGTCGCTGTTGCCTGGCCATGTGGTACCATGGCTGGTCTTGGTCTTCTGGCAGGACCCTAAACCCTAAACCCTAAACCCTAATAAACCCTAAACCCTAACCCTAAACCCAAAACCTTCTGGCAGGACGTGCTGCGACTCTTTCGCAAGCCCGAGCGGGCTTTCTTAGATAGAGTCTCGGCGGCGCTCGGCTGCGGCGTTTCCACATCTTATTAGCCTGTGACATTTGCCCTAAACCCTAAACCCTAAACCCTGAACCCTAAACCCTAAACCCTAAAACCCTAAAACCCTAAAACCCTAAAACCCTAAAACCCTAAAACCCTAAAACCCTACAACCCTAAAACCCTAAAACCCTAAAACCCTAAACCCTAAACCAAAAGCAACTAAACTCTAAACCCCCAGACCCTATAGTATGCGGCTTTGGTACCTCGCAAGCAGAACCCAGGTCTCTGCATACCGCAGGACGATCAGGACCTGAAAGAGCGATGCATTCGCGGACTGGCCGCCTACCTCTGCCGATCGAAGAAGTTGGTCGTCCTCTGGTCTCCCAACTACTTTCGCAGGCTCTGGTGCACCTTCGAGGCACGGGCTGGAGCAAGGGTCACTAGACCTAAGACTTCAAGTTGCTCAAGAACCCTCCAAAAAATAGGAAAATATCATATTCCCTTGATGACCCTTATAAGGAAGAACTTTTACTTTTTCATTTTTTGGGGGGGTTCTTAAGCAAGTAGTACAAGACCAAGTTCATCCCATCTGTCGATCAAGAGCCCGAAACCCACGAGCCCAGCAGTGCGAATCCCCAGCCCTAAGCTCTAAACCCTAAACCCTAAACCCTAAAGCCCTCTTTGACCTAGAGTATCCCTGTACAGGTGACGTATACCCACTAGTGAAGGTACACTCATCTTGTCAGGGTGTTTTTTTTGTTTAAGGGTTTACGAGGGTTGCTATGGGTATGCCCTAGGCATTTGGTATTTACCCAGACCTTTGGGAGGATCCCAAAATTAGAACCCCAAAATAGTACCCTATACTACTGTTGGGTCATTCTTTGAACCCTTAAAGGGATCGACCTAGTACCCTATACTGCCATTAGGAACCCTTAAAGGGATCTACTTAGTACCCTAACCCTAAAACCTAAACCCTAAATCTAAGCCCTAAACTACTATCAGGAACCCTTAAAGGGATCTACTTTGTGTGGATCTTCGAGAGGTCTGAGTAAGTTAACTGGTCGACACATTGTCTGCAACAGCTGACGCCATAAACTCCACAGCCCTTAGCCTTAGCTCCCAAGTCGAAATCAGAACCCTGAAGCCATGTAGGGTTTAGGGTTTAGGGTTTAGGGTTTAGGGTTTAGGGTTTAGGGTTTAGGGTTTAGGGTTTAGGGCTAGGGTTTAGGAGTGAAAAAAACTACACCGGGTTCGACAGGTGGGCTTCTTTCTGATGAACCTCCAGGGCCAGGTCGAAGACATCACCTTCGTACCAGTCCAGATCGGCACCCTGTGCTCCCTTCGGCACCCAGGGTTGAGGGTTTAGGGTTTAGGGTTTAGGGCTACCAGGACCCCGGAGTAGGCCCTTGTTCCCTTTTTGCAGGGCTTCGGTTTTTTTCACATGCCCCTTTAAAGCCCAAGAGGGCACCCTTTTTTGTTCCTGCGTTACTCTTGAGTCTGGCCTCAAGTGGCCCAAGCCCAGGGGTTTAGGGCTCCTTAGCATCTAGGGTTTAGGGTAGGGTTTAGGGTTTAGGGTTTAGGGTTTAGGGTTTAGGGTTTAGGGTTTAGGGTTTAGGTTTAGAGTTTAGGGTTTAGGGTTTAGGGTTTAGGGTTTAGGGTTTAGGGTTTAGGGATCAGATGTGCCCGGTTTTTCACCAAAGAGGGGGTCTACACCGTTATTGTTGACTTACGCTAGTCCTTTTCAGGTGCCGAGGTATCCCCCCAAGAGCCCAAAATCTTTTAAAGAAGGAATATTCCATAAATCATATCAAGGATCCCGTTATCATTTAAGGTATACTCGTTAATTCAGGGGGGCATTGGGCTCTCTGGGTCCTACCGAGACCACTGATTGTGTTCAAACCATGGTTAGTATCACGTATTCAAAAGCCTCCCCTAGGGACTATAGATCGGTCCTATACAGAGTATAAGCATACCTAGACTCCTGGTCAAGCATATCGTTTGGGACGTTAGGGTTTAGGGTTTAGGGTTTTGGGTTGAGAGTCCCTCACGGTTAGTATGGTCTGATTGAGAAGTCGGTACCACCAAGAAGGCGTGAGGTTCACATTGAGAGGTCCAGGCATATGGGGCTTTCCAAAATCTGAGGGGCCATCCCCAACGACCGCGGCAACGCCCCAGACCCTTACGAACTCCTAGAGGGTTTAGGGTTTAGGGTTAGGGTTTAGGGTTTAGGGTTTAGGGTCTGCTAGAGGGTTACAACAGGGCCTTGGCCCGACCCTTGACCCAACCCGTTTATCCAGCTCCTTGTCAAGGGTACGTGCGTTTTGTGGCCGATGTAGGGCGCGCAAGATACAATGCACTTCCAGCAGTTGGTTTAGGGTTTAGGGTTTAGGGTAGGCCTTCAGCATCAAGATACAGCATGCATCTTAGGGTAGCAACATGGTGCCTTAGCATGGGCCCTTAAGCGGACCACGTAACTACGTGTGAATCCGAGAATGCTGAGGTGCATCCTCTGCTATGCTACAGCAGCCAGGCTGTAGTTCAGACACTCGAAAGACTTCTGTGAGGAGTCGCTCTTTGCACCCATGCAAGCAGACACTAAACCCGAAACCCTAAAACCCTCCCTTAGGCAAGGGAGGCTACACCCTGAACCCCAAGACACACAAGGCTACTGAAATATGAGGTCAACATATTACAGCAAAGAAATGTTATATTTATACATGTTTATATGTAAAATGGCAATATTTATACATGTTTATGCGTACAATTGCTACATATTTATATTATTAGTATATTGTTGCGGCCGAGAGTCGGACACATACTTCGAGCCTAACGATCCATGTAGCTATATGGTATATACTTGGGGCCCTAAAGCTACCTCCAAACCCTAAACTCTAAACCCTAAGCCCTGAACCCGAGGAACCTTTTTAAAGCCCAAGTACGGTAAACACTTAGTCTAGGCCAGACAGGCACATGGATCCTTAGGGGAGGGTTGAGGGTCAAGAGGGCGAACACTCCAAGAATTGAGGGGCTGAGGGTTAAGGGTTTAGGGTGTAGGTTTCCGGCACAAGTTTCAGGTGTATCGATTGCAGGTAGAGTTAAACACTTCGATGCTTTATAACAAGTAGCACCCTCAACCCGAACTCGTCATCTGAGGGTACTTACATGGTCCCTTAGTATGGGCCCTTGAAAGGGTTCCCCCTATATACCCCTTATATACCCGATATAAGGTGAAGGGCCCATGCATCAGAACCCTGTAAGGGAGGTAAGGGACCATATTAAGGGCCCATGAAACTACCCCAGACCTAATCCTTAAACCACCCTGCATGTAAGGTGTTTTTTTGCACATCAGCAATGTTTTTGGGTCGGGGGCTGGGGTTTCGGGTTTCGGGTTTCGGGTTTAGGGTTTAGGGTTACTGATGAGACTCGAGAACCGTCCGCGATCCTCAGAGCCCCTTCCAGTGGCCGAACAAGGATCCATGCACCTGTCTAAGAAATACCCCCCCCCCCCCCCTGGCTCTGAGCAGGGAGTGAGGGAATGAGGGCCCTAGATAGTCCGTGAAAGGGTATATGTATATGTATATATATTATATGTATAAGTATGTATATATATATATATATGGGCCCTTCATTCCCTCATTCCCTGCTAAGAACCAGCCAGGAATATTTGGCACATAGGAGCCGCTTGAAGGCCCAAGTATATACTGCGTAGGTACATGCATCCTTAGGGCTTTAAGTATACCCTAGACCCTAAACCCTAAACCCTAACCCCCTAACCCCTAAACCCTAAACCCTATCTGGTTCCAGATGCAGAGCCAGCTCAGAGCCGCACAGCACGTGTTCAACAAGCAAGCAAGCCAATAACTGCTGAAACCCACCCAGAGAGCCCAACACCCCTGAATTTTAAGGAATAGGGCTTTCATGTAATATGGACCTCATCATCCTAAACCCGAAGCCCTAAACCCTAAACCCTAAACCTTATACGGGTTTATTCCTCAGTTAAGGGGGGTGTTTTTTTGGTGCTCTTTTGGGCATGCGCCAAGGCAACGGTTTTCCGCCTGACCTTGTTCCTGGTTCAATACTCGGGCTTGCCCTTTATGGAGTCTTGGCCTCCTTCAGCTCAGGGCAGAAACCTTGGGGTTGAAGGTTTAGGGTTTAGGGTTTCGGGTTTAGGGTTTAGGGTGTAGGGTTTAGGGTTTAGGGTTGACAGCCTTGGTATTCCCTCAACATCTTCAAGTGTAGTGTTTGGGTAGACCAAGGTGGGGCTATTCGGCCTCTATACGGGATTCTAGGGTAGGTCCGGGGTATGTACAGTACCTTCGTTTACGGTACTTAAGGGGTTACTAAAGGAAAGGCAGCCTTTTGGTTGATTGCCGGGGTTTGGACTCGGCCCCCTTAGTTCTTGCTGAAATCTGGGTTTAGGGTATAGGGTTTCTGGAGTTTAGTGTCTAGGGTTCTTTGGGTTCTGGGGTGTTTGGCTTAGGCGGGATTAGGCAGCCGAGTCAAGCGAGGCTGTTGGCAAAACGGTTTCTTGAGATGTTTTTTGGGGGGAGCCGAGGATTTCGTGATTGTCGTCATCATCGCAGTCTTCGTTTTGGCCATCTGTTTGACCCCTGCTTTCTTCTACTACTGGAGCGCGCTGTTCCTAGGCTTTCCATGCATTCTTGCTAGTATCTCCAGGGTGTACGCGCATGTGACTAGTCCGAATCTGAACGAGAAAAAAGGTTGAGGGACGTCTTTGACTTGCCACGGCAGTTGCGAGAGTTCCGGCTGGAGAGCTCTGAATGCTTCTGCTGTTCCCACGGGCATCGACACCCTGCCTCCTGGATGTACTACAGGAGCCTAAACTTTAAGGATCCATGTACCTATATAGTATATACTTGGGCCTATCAAGTATTGTTTGGGCTACAGGTAAATACTGTAGCTACCCAAAATACCCATTCTGGTTCAATGGGCCACTACAATCGGATGCATTGTGCATTTATGGCCATTGTGGATTCTTCGAAAAGCTATGACAGAACCTCCCGATTGCTCAGGTGAGCGGTGAGAATATTTTCTGTGACCGGGCACTGATCTACCAGAACTTGAAGGTCCGCGGATGTGGCGGCAGGGAGGAGCAGGCGCTTGATGCCTTCAATGGGCACGTGCGCCGAATCTTGGCACCGAACATCGAGCAGAAATCGAAGCATCACTTGCTGGTGTTGAAGCACACGCTTGTGGCTACTGCGGCGGCTTGCTTTCCACATCTGGCAGTCAGTATTCCAAGAAGCCTTGAAAGACGTGTAACTGGCTGGAGAGCCAATGTTCTTTTCGCGGGCAGCCAGATATTCCTCGATCTTGCTGTGGTGTTTTTGCTTCGAGTCACGTTGTTAATCGGTCAGTTGGGCCACCAGCGTTTCTTTCGTCGACACAGGTTCTTTGCGATTGCCATGCAGGTTGTGGCGTTCTGCCTGGCTGCATGCGGCGTGCTCCTTCCCTGGCCTTTGAGTGTTATCCTAGCCGCGAACAACAGCATGCTCCCGTTTGTGTCGGTCGTCTTGCTGCTACTCGCCAACATCTGTTTACTTCGGCCTTTGCTGCGCAGCAGCCCGCCCAAAAGCTGCAGCATGGCTGCGGAGAGGCCGACACCGGCGCCGATACCTGCAGTCGACTTGCATTCCCTCGACAACAGCGACAACGAGTCAGGCTCTTGCTTTGAGATATAATGTGTTTTAATACGGGTTTTGTTGTGGAAGTGCCAGGCAGCGCTTTCGATCCTCGGCGGTGCTCATCATTCCTTCCGCCTCTGTATCGGAGGATCAGAGAGCGCGGTGGATTTTCCGCTCCGCAGAGGTTTGTTCTTTTATTCTAAGGCGGTCTGCAACAGAGCGCTTACCCAGACCCCTGTAAAAACTCCAAAAAGCAGATCCCTGTGAGGGTTCCGACAAAATATGGCCCAATGGTAGTATAGAAGGGTGCTTACGATGGGGGGTTGCTACTTTTTTGTCTTCTCCCCAGGGGTCTGGGTAGCTTCGTGTTTTCAGACCCTGAGTGCCGGAGAGCACCAGGCCTCAGACACGCCAAGACCCATACTGTCCCACAGCATTCTGGAGAGAAACTCTCCAAACCCTAAACTTGTGGTTTAGGGTTTAGGGTTTAGGATTTAAGGTTTAGGGTTTAGGGCCCTTATACTAACAGTCCTGAATAGGGATTGTAGTACCCCCTATACAATCACTATTAATGACTGTTAGTAAAAGGGGGAACATCCCAGCCCTAAACCCCAAACCCTAAGGGTGCTTGTACCAGTGTAGCACTTGGAGGTTCATGGTACTTATCAAACCATTGCAACCCTACTTACAACTGTACTTACAACCATATTACTTAAGGGGCTTGCAAGTGGGTTATAAGTACAGTTGTACCTGGTTACTAAGTGCCATTAACCTCCAAGCATAGACGTGCGGCTCTAAAGGGCCTCCCTGAAGGCCCTGAGCGGGCCCTGAACCCTAAGCCGCAGACCCGATACGTGTCGGTTCCGAATGCAGTCGCGCTCAATTGCTTACCTGAAGGCTCTACTGCATGTCCTTTTGGGTTTAGTTCTAGGGGACTCGAGTATACTACCCCAAAAAGGTACTACATAGGAGCCTCTAGGCAAATTCCAGAGGCCTCGCGGTTCAACCCACAGGGAGTCCAAGGACAAGATATGCCACCCGCAGTGAAGGTTCGGGGTTTAGGGTGTACCGGGTTTAGGGTTTAGGGATGTTTAGGGCTTAGGGTTTAGGGTTTAGGAGGGCTTCAGGAATTTCAGAAGCGGCTTTAGGGTTTAAGGGCAAGAAAGGGGGGGGGGGGCTTGTTGAATTATCGGGGATTTTATTAGGGTGTCGCTGGCGTTTTTTTTAGTCTAGGTATCCTTGAGAGTTGGGAGCTGCAGGAAGTTTAGGGTTTTGGGTTCAGGGTTTGCGGTTTAGGGTTTAGAGTTTAGGGTTTAGGGTTTAGGGTTACATACCAGACATGTGTTGCTTGTGTTGGGATGGTGGGATGGTATTGCCAGCAAGTCGGATTCACCAGCACACGCAGATCGTCCAGGCGGTTGTGGCTCAGGGATCTCACTGTACAAGCAAAAGGATCCATGTACCTTTTAGTAAGCTACTAATATATAGGACCCCCGAGCCCGCATTATTTCAACCCGACCCCAGGCTAAGGCGCTAAGGTTATGGGTTCCGCACCTATTACAGGCCTAGGATTTCGAATTTAAGTTAAAATGCGAAACAATTGTACCCAGATTGAGCCGGAAAATGTACATGCCCGCGAAAATGTAGAAGGAATGCACCGGAAATTGCGAAATAAATGTAAGCGAAAAAAATAAATGTGAGAAAAAAGTGAAAAGAATGTAAAAACATGAGCAAAACTGTGCCGGAAATTGTAACAAACAAAACTCCCCTGGAAAAATAATGTGCCGGAAATGGTGAAATAATTTCGAGAAAATGTGCTCAGCAACTATCTAGCGAAGGCTTTAGTATGAACACAATGTCCCATGTTTGGTACAATTTCTGTGCATTTGGGGTCACAATTCTGGCACATTTTCCGTCACAATTCCAGGTACATTTGTTTTGGCAGTCACAATTTCCAGTGGTAGAGTTTTTACAATGTGGGCGCAGATGTTTCACAATTATTTGTTCTTGGGTTTTGCAGGCTGTAATAGGAGCCGGAACACATTACGCTAAGGAGCGTGTGGAACAACGCTGGGCAGTATTTGCTTCGTCCCGAAGCAGCGGAGGTTCTTGGCTTAAACCCCTTCTAGCGAGTTGCCCTGGGTTACGTATTAGGGGTCTGTAGAGTTTAAACCTTACACCCTAAACCCTAGACCCTGCACACTAAAAACCCTAAACCAACAGGGTTTCTTGGCCCCTCAAAACAGAAAGAGCCCATTGTGTTGGAACTTAAGGCCCTTTCTTGGAGGTTCATGCGACTTATTAACCAAGTGTAACTGTACTTATGACGTATCGGCCCCTGAAGTGCTGGTTAGAAGTACAGTTAGAAGTACATCTATAGTTGGTTAGTGAGTACCATGAACCTCCAAGTATTTGCCCTGACGTCGCAGTCATCTGCAGGATCCGTCTTGTGGCGTAGCGTCTGGGATTTCGGGCCTGGTCGAGCCCTGCGCATCCCTGCGCGCGAAACCCGAGCCCTGCGCCCCCGAACCGCAGAGCGCCCCTTCCAAGAGTCATGATACTGGAGGGGTCGCACCGAGCTGCACCCACCCACCCCTCAAGGGTTTAGGGTTTAGGGTTTAAGGTTTAGGGTTTAGGGATCCCCTCACACTAATAGTATCAAACCCACTCTACTCCCGAATATACGGGTTCAGGGAGGGCGAAAAAGACACACCCGTTTAGGTTTAAGGTTGTCTTCCAGTTTCTGGAGAGATTTCTTTGGGTGAAGGGGGGAGGGGTTACAGGGTTTGGGGTCTGAAGATCAAGGGATCTCCATGCGTCTGCAGTGGGAGTTCACCCGTGTTGCTAGAGGTTTAGGGTTTAGGTTTTAGGGAACAAATTAAAAAGCCCTAGCCCTAAACCCTAGCCCTAAACCCTAAACATCTCCGAAGGCAATTTTCTACATGTTCTACTACACTGGCGACCCGAAGTATCGACGCTGGGCAGGTCTGACAGCAGGGACTCGCTATGTCCTACGAGAGGGAGGGCCCAAAAGAGCCCTCTACACCCCTTAAATGCGGAGAATGTGGGTTTAGGGCTTAGGGCTTAGGGCTTAGGGCTCAGGGCTCAGGGCTGAGGGCTGAGGGCTTAGGGGAATAGACCTTAAATCACAGTAAGGATTCCTCTATTCCTTACTTAAGTGATATTGGGCACTCAGGCCGGGGGCGGGTGGCGGGGGGGGGGGGGGACCGGGGACGTAACCTCCAAAAGCCATAAGGGGAGCTCTCTACTCACCTCTTGGTGCCCTTCTACGGGTGGAAAATTCTATAGGGCACCTAGGAGGGACCCCAATTTGAAGAACTACTCAAGAACTATCTGCATGTTTATACAGGGGCACCCAAATAGGTACCCTAGGATGGGCTCTGTGACCCAATAAATCCCTACAGGGCGGGCCCTTGATTGGGATGGCTTCTGATGGGGATTCGCAGACCCTAATAGCCCACCCTGCTTTGTTAGGGTTTAGGGTTTCAGGTTTAGAGCTCAAACACGCAAGCCCCCTGTGAAGAAGAGTTTGGCCTGTTAGGCCTAGGGGCTTTCTGGTTTCGATCATACTCATCCTTTCGGAACCCCTTTTATAGGGCCCGATCATATAGGACACAAAGACTTAGTAGAGCCCATTCTAGTTGTCGCATCTGGCTTATCGGGGTTTAGGGTTTAGGGTTTTCCCTAAACCCGAAACCCTAAACCCCACGACTTAGGGTTTTAGGGCTTCGGGTGTTATGTCCCCAACGCTAAACCCTAAACCATAAACCCTCCCTATACCTCCTAATGGCAGCAACAGGTGAGATCATGGAGGCCATCGAGAAGAACTGTCGGACAACCCACGGCTACAGTGGCTCTTCTCAAGTCTGCAAGAGTTTGGGGTTTAGGGTTTAGGCTTCAGGCTTTAGGCTCATAACTGGCGCTACAGTAGAACAACCCAAGTCTACTTGTTTGCAGGTTCTTCCTACTAGGACTAGGAAGCCCTGGTAGGGTCACCCGCAGAAAGTAGATCTGGTGTTCTTAAGGTACGGTAAGGCGCGCGTTGAGTGGTTTCGACTTCTGACAGCAAGAACCTGGTTTCGCTCACAAAGTAGACTTACTAAGCTTCCAAGCCCATGAGATCAGAGGGCTCTTTTTTTTGTCAGTTCTCGAAGCAAGGAGACAGTAAGGGCTCGTGTCGCCCTAAACCCTAAACCCTAAACCCTAAACCCTAAACCCTAAACCCTAAACCCTAAACCCTAAACCCTAAACCCTAAACTCCGAAAACACTCTTGCCATGGCATTGCTGAGCACCTCGGTTCAACCCTCAGCGCCTAGGGGTGCATCAACCTACAAGACAGTACTTGGAAGCTCTTTTGACTTTGTAAGTCTGCGTTGTACCCCCTCAGAAGCCCTCTTTGAATTCCCATAACCCACGAACCCACCTTACTAACCCTACTTGCAAAGTGAGAAGGGCTTCCAAGTATGTAAAGCTCCTATATGCTATGTAAGAACCCCCTTTAAGGCACAAGTTTGGGATGATCCCCCGTATGCTAACAGCTCCTTGATAGGGATTGTAGTAGGGGGGTACTCTAATCCCTATGAAGGACTGCTAGTATAAGGGGAACATCCCAAGCACAAGTACATACCGGAAAGGTAAGCATTTTGGGGAAGCCTTTGCCGTGTTATGCTACTTATGGCCGAGATCCACATACCGGTGCCCCTTGATGAAGGAAGATAGCTTAATCTAGGGATCCTTGATATGATTTAGGGTATCTTCCTAAACTATGGGGTATTGGGGCTCTTCGGGTGCTCTCTGTCTCTCTTTCTCTCGCGCTCTCGCCCTCTCCCTCTCTCTGTCCCTCCCTCTCCCTCCCTCTCCCCCTCTCCCCCTCTCCTCCTCTCCCCCTCTCCTCTCTCGCCCTCTCGCCCTCTCCCCCTCTCCCCCTCCCCATCTCCCCCTCTCATCCCCCTCTCCCACCTCTCCCCTCGCCCCCTCCTCCTCTCTCCGCTCTCCCCTCCTTCATCCCTCTCCTCCCTCTCTCCCTCTCTCCCTC